GCCAGGCGGGTCATCCAGCTCATGGAGAAGCTCTCCGCCTACGACCCCTTCTTGAAGTGGTTGCTTGCCTCCAACGAGGACGTGGACGAGGCCGTCTACGTGGGGAAGAACCTCGCCCGGGCGCTCGCGGGCCATCCGGCCTTCTGTGAGCTGATGTGGAACTGCGGGCCCGCGCAGAGCGGTAAAGACCTCGGCGTGTCCATCATGCAGCAGCTTGCCGGCACAGGTTCCACGGGTGGCTACTGCGCGGCTTTGAAGTGGGCCTACTGCATGAAGGGCGCCAACACGGCCATCGAGGGCTGTTCGCCTTTCCTCTCAGCCACCGATGGGGCTCGCTTCGTCTTCATATCGGAAGTCCCCAACAGACGGATTTCAATGGCCCTCTTGAAACCCCTCTGCGAGCAGAGAGGAGCGGAGATAGCATCTCGAGGTCTCTACCGCGGCGGCAACGAGGCATTCACCCCGACGGCTCTCATAGTGCTGACGTCGAACTTCCAGCCTCGCCTTGCCCACGACGAGCGCCAGGACACCGGAAGCTCCACCAGGGTCAACGTGATCGCCGCCTCCAGCGTCTTCACCGAGAACGTGCACTTGGCCACTCATCAACAGAGCGACTCCCGGTTGGCTGACGATGTGCGCGAGGGCAAGCTCACGGCCTGCGCTTTCTACTGGCTCGCGGAGTTCTACCACTTGCTGGACTTGGTGCCGCACACAAGAAACGTCGCACCGCGACCAGATAGAATCAAGCAAGTGTCGGAGCTTTGTTTTTTCGTCGCGGCGGAAGAGAGCAAATGGCTCACATGGCTGTCAAAAATTCGCTACACGGACGACATCGAGGAGGCCTCGACCATCGCCGAGGTCCACGAGAGCGGCAGGAGCGCGCTGCAGGGCTCCGAGGAGGAGGGGCAGTTGATGCCGAACCTGACCAATGCCGGCTTCACGGACAAGCCGCGCGAGGCGACCAAACGGGTCTACAAGCGGCTGGTTCCGGGCCCAGATGGCACGCAGGTTCTGAGGATGGTGATCGCTCCGCCACCGGAGCCGCATCGCTTTGGCTACGAAGATCCCCTCTAGATCTCNNATCTCTTTTCTGAAGTGCATGGGTTCCCGGCTTCCATTGGCGACGCTTAAACGCCTGCATGGAGGTCGCAGAGTTTTCAGCTATGGCCGCGCTCCCTCCGCTTGGGAGGCTTGCAAGGCATGTGCACAGATGCCGTATGGCCGACAATGCTCCTCTGATATACCGTCAAGGCCTTTCAAAAGCAGCGCAGCTACGCTTTGCAAGCTCCCCCTCGGTTGTCCCTAAGTCCCGAACCACAGCATCCCGAACCCCTAGAACCCTTAATCCCTACTAGCCTTCCCTGCGAGTGCCCTGCGAGTGCTTTGTGAGTGCAGCTGTGAGTATTGTGCGAGTGCCCCCCCTGTGAGTGCCCTGCGACTGCCCTGTGAGTGTTGTGCGAGTGCTGCATGCCC